TCTTACAGTGGGCCAGCTTATGCTGGCTCAGCACGTTGATAGTTTTTTCTAGAAGTTGCTACTTTGTGCTACATAATCAAAGTAAATTTTAAAATGAAGTTTCTAGCCTTTATCGATACAAAAACAATCTGCAAAAGGTGACCTGAGTATATTTCAATGAGAGTTCATAACTCAGTTAAGAACTGCTCCATTCAGCTCTTTTGTGTTTGAACTCTGAAGCTTAAGAATGATATTTTTAAATGTTGTCATACACAATTACACTACTGATCAAAATAGGCTATTTTCCTGAGGGGATAATTTGTTTGCATTGTCATGGCAGTATACAATACTATCTTTCCCTTCTCCCCCCTGCCATAAAAGTCATCTATAGCACTGGTCCCCTCTCGTGTTTCAGCGAATTTCACTGTAAACCAGCTCTGAGTGATCATGAACTAAAGGGCCAATAGCAGGAACAATGCTGTGATTTCTCATGTTGATCATGGAAAAAAATCACTGACAGACTCTTTGGTATGTAAAGCAGGTAAAACACGATTCACTGACACGTGGGAAGATGAATGAGAAAGATGTATCACAATCAAGTCTACATAAGGACAAAATTTGTAACCAGTGAGAGAATTTTGTAATCCAGCACTTAAACACTGTCTCCTCACAACCAAACCACGCCCCCCGCCCCACTTTTTTGAAACTGCTTATACAGAGATTAATCTCATCTGAAAACAGTGATGAATAAAATTAAATTACATCAAGCTAAATCACACACAGCTCAAACTTGACTCCCTCTGTGTTTATAAGCTCCCAAGAGACTTGCTCTGTCAGCAGTCAAGACTACATTTACCCTTCACTTAATGATCATTGTTATAAGACTGAACAGCTCCACTCCCCCATGCACCTGATTTATATGAATGGAGTGTCTGCTACATACCTACCTAGGGGTGCTAAAGAAATGATTCCATTCTATTATAAATTCCATTGCTCAGTCTCTCAAGGAACATACTGTTCAGAAACAGAGTAGTGATCAAAGCATAAGAAAAAACAGAGAGGGACTATCACTTCTACTGCAGCCTCTATAGCAGGGATGGGGAACCTTCTTGGGTCGAGGGCCACTGACCCACAGAAAAATTATTTGGGGGCTGCACACAAGTGAGAAGGCAAAGAAAAAAGTTACCCTCACTGAGTGAGAAGGACACTCCCCGGATTCCCATTGCACACCAGACCCTGGGGGGCCCAGGCTAGTAGATCGTGTATGCTCCAGCCTCGTGGGGGGATGGTGGGGAACTGGAGCACAAGCATGGGCTTCCCAATGCTGTGGAGAGCTCTGAACCCCACGGCCCGGATCCAGACAGGCCAGGGACCACATCCAGCCCCCGGGGCTGTTCCCCACCCCTGCTCTATAGGGTGCTTTGGCAGGATACAAAGGCCCTCATGCACATATGCAGCACATCATTACTTGCAATAGGGAGTAAGAGTGGGTTTTTCAGGTGAGTCATTTTTTCTTGTCCCAGGTTGCAGAGCAAGGGATCTAAAGGGCTGTCTACTAGTGTAGACACTGGCAGCTCAAATTTAGACTGGGACCCACAGCAGGCTTCCTGCCAACCAAGAATTGGGCAGAGATAAAAAGTATGTCTTAAAGACACCTTGTGCCTCTTGGGTTGTTCTGTGCTGCAACTCCTGGAGATATGGTACAGAATCTGTCCTATAGACTTCAACACATAGCCATTTTTCATTGCTACACAAAACCTTTCCAGGGTCCTTGTGGGCTCTTGGCTTCCCTTCCATCCATTTTTACATAAAGGAAAGAATCTTCATTCAACAGGTGAAAGCAGACATCACCTTTTGGAGAGGGACTAAGGCAGTTACACCACATGACTTTGGCTTCTGTCAACTGAAGCCAATGCATTAAACTTCTGCCTGAGAAGGAGTGAAACACACGGACTATACCAGTTGCTGTAGAATTGCATGCAGCAATGGTAAAGTCTTCTGCATATGGTCTCAAATTGTGAAGAAACAACATGTCACTCATTTCACCGTTGCAATATGGACGTTCCAGGCAAGCACAGGAGGTACAGGTACGCTATACAATGCAGACATTGAACAAAACTTAGCTGGTCATAGGCCACTCTAGGTATGTTGTCTGCTACTGAGACAAGAAATAACCTTTCCCTCCAATTGAGCAGATGCAACACATTAGAAAATTATAGAACTGCACAATGCAATTCAGTGATTCATGTGCTAGTTTGTGACCCGCTGTCTCAACATGCCAGTATCAGTCCCTTACTTCCACTCTGGTTTTCTTAGAGCACGCACAACGTGTCTCAGTTGGCACACAACCAGGATTAGTCACCGAATGTGGTGCGATGGTTGGATCATTAGCATGAGACAAATGCTGATCCAGGCCAGTGAGTTAGAGGATCTGTAAAGTACAACCTGTTCTTAGTACAAGAGAACTTTTAAAATAAGCTTATTTAGTGTCCCAAAATTAGCAAGAATGCGCTATTTTTACTTCAACTGTGCAATTAATATAGAGAAAACACACTAATCACCTAAGGGAAATTAGAAACAATAAGTAGCTTGGTTTTATTGACAAATCATGCCATAAAAAGCTTGCCCATTTAATAGGAACACAATTAGTGGTCAAAGGGAAAAAGAGTGGGAGGTGTATTAAGACTGATATGAACTTAAGACTGGCTGAAAGAGCATACAAAAAAAGCAGCTACAAGTAACAGTAATGCTGATAATTTGGAGTGGGGATGGAGAATGGCAAAGGCATCTGCAATAAACCTTGTTTTAACATCTCCTGTATTTACACTTAGTTCAAATACTATAGTAGCAAATGCCATAGCTGTGGCTACTGAAAGACAAACCATACTGAACTAAATGCAACACTTCCCCCACCAAGTAGGAAAGAGAAATTAAAGATATTGGGGAAGAGAAAGGAAAGAATGAAATTTAGTTGCTAGGGGGGAAATCTTAAATATAGTCAACAGAAGTACAATACTTGGAAAGAGGTGCAATGTCAAGATATACAGACAAAACCAAGATTCCATTTCTCAAGCAAAGTGTTTCCTTATCATTTTCCTGGCCTGTTACCCCTTTCACATGCAGAACTGAGATCATCCATAGAATACCACGTACAAAGTCTGGGTACCACCAAAGAAAGTATCAGGGAAGAAGATAATAAAAAATATTAAAGGGAGAGATCGAGAGGAAAAATATATTACAGTCTTCCTGATCAGCAAACCCTTTTAGACCAGTGATACTCAAAACTGAGGCTTATGAGCTGCAAGCATCTCTTTAATGCATCTCCTGCAGCTCTGTGTCATTTAAGATAGTGATAGAAATGTAGCCGTGTTAGTCTGGGGTAGTTGAAGCAAAATGCAGGACAATGTAGCACTTTAAAGACTAACAAGATGGTTTATTAGATGATGAGCTTTCGTGGGCCAGACCCACTTCCTCAGATCAAATAGTGGAAGAAAGTAGTCACAACCATATATACCAAAGGATACAATTAAAAAAAAGAACAAATATGAAAAGGACAAATCACATTGCAGAACAGAAGGAGGAGGCGGGGGGGTGGGAAGGGGGAGGAAGGAAGGTAAGTGTCTGTGAATTGATGATATTAGAGGTAGGGAGAGTGGGATGTTTGTGAGTTAATGGTATTACAGGTGATAATTGGGGAAACTGTCTTGATAATGGGTGAGAAAGTTCAAAGACTTGTTAAGTCCCTGGTGGTAAGTGTCGAATTTTAACATGAATGACAGTTCAGAGGATTCCCTTTCAAGTGCAGATGTAAAAGGTCTTTGTAGCAGAATGCAGGTGGCTAAGTCATTTAGAGAGTGTCCTTTCTGGTTAAAGTGGCAAGAAACTGTTTTCTCTTTGTGATCTTGTCTGATATCTGTTTTGTGGGCATTAATCCTTTGGCGAAGTGTCTGAGATGTTTGTCCAATGTACATAGCAGACGGACACTTTCGGCACATGATAGCGTAGATTATATTTCTGGATGCGCAGGAATATGTGTTCTTGATCTTATAACTCACTTGGTTAGGTCCAATAATGGTATCAGCAGAATGAATATGTGGACAAAGCTGGCAACGGGGTTTGTTGCAAGGGAAGGTACCAGGGTTGGTATTAGTGTGGTATGTCCTGTGGTGGTTGGTAAGAATCATCTTGAGGTTAGGTGGTTGTCTATAGGAGACTATGGGTCTGTCTCCCAGAGCCTCTTTGAGTATGGTATCCTGCTGTTCTGCAATGTGATTTGTCCTTTTCATATTTGTTCATTTTTTTTAATTGTATCCTTTGGTATATATGGTTGTGACTCCTTTCTTCCACTATTTGATCTGAGGAAGTGGGTCTGCCCCACGAAAGCTCATCATCTAATAAACCATCTTGTTAGTCTTTAAAGTGCTACATTGTCCTGCATTTTGTATCATTTAAGACACTTTTCATAACCAGCTGATGTTATTAAACAGCATGCTTTTACTATATTAACAACCAATTGTAGCTGATAAATAATATTTGGTCAGTTATTTTGCTGTGAGACTAATATGCATTTTCCCCTCATACTGTTTAAATGTGACTACATAGCACTACCGTGAATTAAATGAATTCACATAACTGATTCTTTTGGGCAATGTTGATTGCTAATTTGGTACCTAAGCCACTGAGGTCTGAATATCACTGTTCTAGACACTATACACAATGGGTCTGCTAAGAAATCGTGCAGGATTGGGCCCTTTATGTCTAGGCAGAGACAATGTCTACATCTGTTTGACGATTGTCATCACCACCACAAAGAAACCCTCTAGTCTACCATGAAGTTATAACAAAGAGTAAATGGGTTGAAAGAGTGAAGAAAATGTCCCAAATGTAGTGTCAAACTATACAGTTGCCAAAAAAGCAGGTGAAGCTGTTTGAATCATGCTCCACTAGACAACACTTTGGCAAATATGCACAGAGAACAACCTTGTACTAGACAAAAGGACAGACCAGAGCAGACCAGTAACTACTTTGCAATTTCAACAGCTGCATTTGAAGGACTCAGTTTAGTTTTATGAAATAGTATGGGTAGGCAATTTACATGAAGGAACAACAAGGATTTCATAGTCTGAACAGTTTTTTTTGTTTGTTTTTTGTTTTTACTTTCCACCTTATACAAGGCCTGGCCAGAAGTTAAAGGACTACAGCCAGGTTCTGCATAGCAGTTTGTTGTGTTTACAGCATACATTAACATCTATATGATGAAGGTTTTGCATAGTTTTTCTCCAAGATACACTAGGAAGAAGTCACATTTTAGGAATTTGCATTCATAAGTGAACATCACATGTTCAGGAAAACTTACAGATTTCTTTTTTTTTTTGCGCTAAGAATGTAAGGAACAAACAAATATAGCATAAGTCATGGCTATTTGACAAATCTTCATTATTTTAAATGAAGTTTATTACAGGCCTCAGTGGAAAAAAAATCAGCAACGCAGACCTCTGCACCTTTTTTTGTATCCAGGATAAACATATGCTGTTTTCATTCTAGAGTGGTTAAGTGCCTTTTTTATTTAAAAAAGTTGGGGTTGGTTTTTTTTTTTTTACATTATTGCTGTGTATTACAACAAAATTAAAAACCTTCTGTGGAATCCATCCAACAACAAAACAAAATTAGTTTCCCCAGAACAAGTCAGTCAAACAGTACATTTGTTCCAAGTGGGTCTTTTTTACTCCAAATGTTTTGAGATCAAGAAAAAAAAAGTTCTAATCATTTCAGTTCTTACTGTACATGTAGTTTTACTCAACTTTCAGAAGGCAACAGAATCGATCTGTCTTTTCAATAAATATCAAAATAGCTTTCAAGACACTGCAGTTCCTTTTCTAGTCATGATGAGCTACTTTGTGCAATTGCTCAGTTTTGTGCTGCCAGTGTTTCAGTCCAATGAGATGATGTCAGGAATGCTGCTCCCACTGCTTGTTATGACTCCCGTGTCACTCCTGCTTGAAGAACTAACGTGAGTGCTGCTCTCATGGTGGCTGGTAGATGTGATGATATTGCCAGGGGTGCTGCTTGTTAAGGTTGAGGTGAGACTATCCAAAAACATAGGAGGACAGTACTGCTTGAAACAAACAATGATGCCGATAAGGAAGAGACTTAACTGCACAAGGGAAAAAGTAAACTCTGAGGATGCCTCTTCCCTACCACAAGTTAGTTAACTATAACAAAAACTTGCCAATACATGCTTGGTAAGAACCAGACTTTTACAAACCTGAAGGCAGAACACAGCAAAAGCAAAGAGCAAACTATGCTCTGTTCATTTACTTGAGAAGGCTAGGGTAGTTTAGTAACACCTCATTACCTCTAAAATATGCTACAGAACATTTACAAGCATACTGTGAAATCTTCATATGGCGCTGTAGCTATGTGTTGCTATGACATCTCATTAGTAGAAAATGTACCTCATAATTGGCAGATGTGCAAGTATAAGAGGGTCTCCTCTCACTTGTGTAAATTACCTTTTATTTTATAGCATCTTTAGTCCTGACTGACACAAGAGTAGTTTGCAAAGTCTATGGCTACAAGAATCACTCCATCCGCACCACTGAAGTGCAGTCACTTAAAAAGAGATACATTACTCTAAGAACGTTTTACCTATGACAAGTGAATTGTAAGTCTGATTTTTTTAAACTAAATTCATGCAAATTCAAAATGTTTTTTGAATTGGCAAAAATCTGCTTTTAAACTATCATTATTACAGTTGATACAGAGACAGGTGTGTTTAAGACACTACTAATTTCTAGTAGGTTTTAATGAGTCCATCCCCCAAAAGGATGAGAACATCTTCAGCCTTTACCTACTTGATGCACCCTAAAAAAAGCCAAACACACTATACAAGTTTTAAACTGATACATTCCTTACTTTTGTGATGCTTTATAAGCCATCCCAACCTGAGACCTCAGGTCATAGAAATAGTTTGGGATCCAGACTATCGTGTCTGAATAGGCTAGAGAAGTCGCAATATATTCAATCTATATCCTGTATGTACACAGTCTCTATCACCCTCAATTTGATTTGGGATCCAAAGACCATCAAGAGTCCACTGCTATATGGCTCATTTACATGGAATTGCACAAAAGGGGACAAAGCAGGCGCACTACCGCCACAAAAATATCTCCATGTATTCCTCCTGATCTGGGGCTGTAGGAAGCAGCTGGGCTGTGGCTAAGTTTCTTCTGCCCCCACCCCTACAGCTGCAGCCTGTTGTTGGGAGTCCCACATGTTGCCTGTGCCTCCAGCCTGAGTCACCTCAGCAGTATCTGCAGAGCAAACAGCAGGGCTGGGACTCCAGCAGCAAGGAAACTGTAGCAGACTACAACTGTAGGAATGAGGGGAGGACCCTGAAACCAGCTTCTCTACTACTTCTCTACTACTTCCACACAACCTGGGGTGCAGGGACACAGAGTACTGTTGCAAGAGGAGCTGCTGGGCATCTCAGAGACATCCTGAGAAATGAGGAGGGACCCTGTCATTTGTCGGTGTTTAATGTCCCTCCAAAAGTGTTCAAATTTAAAACTCCTGCACATGCCTCTGCTTATTTGATATACAAAGCACTATCCAACATAGCAACAGTAAGTACTTCTTTTACCTCACCACCTAAGGCTGGACAGATGACAGCTGTCCTTGCAGCCCAGGAGAGAACCAGAATCTGTCTCAAATCCTGTTCTTGTCTTGGCCATTTAATTAAAATCAAATGTAGTATACATTTCAAGGGAATGGAAAATTTCATATTTCTGGGAAAAAGACACGGTCTTTCTATGGATTTTGGAGGTGATGGGGAAGAGGGAGTCTTCCCTCATTGGCAAGTTATTCTACACTGATCTATCATAGGATGCTTTTTGTCTTCCTCTCAATGTTTAGTACTAGCCACTGTCTGAGACAGGATTCCTGACTAATCAGACCATCTAGCTGGTCCAAATTGTTTGCAATTCATTTTTCAGAAGTGGATAGCCATGAGAAACAAAAACCACTTAAAATTTTGAGAGAGAGAGAGAGACACACCCACACCCCAATATAATCAGGAAACATACCTGTGGATCAACTGGGATTAGTGAAAGAAAATCCAAACCTAGAAAGATAGAAATCAATGCCTGTCACTTCTGTAATCAAGACGTGCAGTTTTAAGAAACATTTTGTCAAGAAATAGTTAATTGCTCAGTGCTAGCTATAAAGTACTTTGTGAAGGACACAACACCTGTCTCACATTGTCAAGAGCCAGGAAAAAAAAAGTTATCTAGTAACCAGTGGGTTTTTCCCCCCTACATGAAGGTAGAGTGATGATTATGTATTCACTGGATATACTGGGATGATTTTAAGCTAGCTGCATTGATGGAAGTAGCTAACTGTAGTTGTTTAAAGTGTACGAAAATCTAGCATAGCTCAAGATTCACAGTGTGATTATGACTTCAACTGGGACAAAGCTTCATAATATTGAGCATACTGTCATGAGATCAGATCACAACATGACCATGTCCACCACCAAACAGCAGGTCACTGCCCCATATCCAAAGGCAGCCAGCAAGGAAACACTTCTAAAATCGGGCCTATTCTGTGTTTGGAAACATTAGTTTTGGAGAAGCAGTTCAAACTAAAAGCTCAAAGGGGCAGAGGCTGAATTTCTTTCACCTCCTACATTCAATGCTTAGGCACTTAGGACAGAACTTATAAAAACAGAAGCCTACTAATGCTAGAGATTTTTAGCCTGGTATTTTTTAAAATCCTGGCCTTATCTTCCCCATATTAACAGAATGAAAGGCAAAAGAATAGAGAATGGAAAGACCTCATTTCCTATGCCCTCCCTTGCCAGCCAGCCTTCGCCTCCATGGCTCTAGGCAATGGTGTTCCCTCACCAGAAGTCTCTCCCCACCCCCAAAGCCTCTGAGAAAACATATGGGAGATTTGATTCAGAAGACTTCACTATAGAATCCATCAAGGACCCACAGTTCTCATTGTGAAACTCTAGGATTTCAGTTCACCTATAATGCTCCCCTTAAGGTTAAAGTAAACTATGAGCTCTCCTAACTATTCCACAGAAAAAGACATTGGATTCTCCTAAGGGAAGGATGTTGGGAGGGAGCAATAAAAGAACCACAGTGAAACAGAGAAGGTGATTTATCCCAATGCCATCAGCCAGGTGGGAACTGGAACAGGAAAAAAGCCACAAGTGTAGCAGGAAGGACAGGGAAAGGGGTGGGTGTTGGCAGAAACCATTTTCTGAGGCTCTGTGTACTGATATAGATAGAAAGAATCCCAAGTATCCTCACAAACAACATTCTTGTAAAAAGTGAGGACAGAAAATACCACCATTCCCACCTTCCGACTGCTATTAGCAGCAGTGTTGAAGAATGCATCATGGACATTTAGGGCATGTCTAGATAAAAAAGGCAACAGAGGTCAAAGCTTATACATTGTAGCTCACCTTAACCTTTTCCTTAGGTTACGCAAAGTAACATCAGGGACAACCTCACCCAGCTAGACCAGTGGTCCCCAACCTTTCAGGGCTGCCGGGTACCCGGGGCCGGCATCGCCCATGCGCCGGGGCTAGCCCAGATGATTCGGCAGGCGTACATAAATGCCCCAGCAGGCGCCATGGCACCCACAGGCACTGCATTGGGGACCACTGAGCTAGACTGAAGGTAAAAGATCTCTCCCCTTGTCTAGAGAGAAGGTAAGGTTGAGGTGAGCTGTCACAATGTCAGATGCTTACTCTTCCTATTTTGTGTTCTAAAAGCACATCGCACAAATGAAACAATCCATTCCAGGGAGACTTCTCCGCTAGTTGATTTATCAACACATGAACTTGAGTCTGTACTCAGACAATTTATTTTTTTTTACTTCATTTTGGAAGCTACAGGACTGGAATCCGAATATGGAAATACACCCTAGTGACCAGCTTGCGCTATTCTTGTGTAGATATACTGAGGTTACAATCTGGCTCAATAGGGAAGTACCTCAGTTACTGATGAGACTGTTTGGATATGCTTAACAAAAACACAAAAAACAAAACAAAAAACCCACAAACCCTACTTTCCTCACTCACTCCCCCCTCCCCCCCCCACACACCCCCCACGTACCTGGCAAGTCTGATGAAATACTTGATATTTGTGGATGGTGGAATGGTACTGAGTAGTCTGATAATGAAGGAGGAATAGCAGCAGGATCAACTGTTGTCACACTGGGCACTCTTACAGAAGATGGTTGATACATGAGAACCCTGTTTTAAACAGCATGGGAAATTACAAACAGACAATCTGGCTGTTAGTTAAGAGGAGAAAAAAATTCTGCACCACAGTGCGCACTCATTCACAAGGTCACTATGTTACAACACAACTATAGCGTGGCTACTCACTACACAGTACTCCACTCTAATCTCCTCTTTCATAACAGTCTTCATTATAACATGAACGTATCGTGGCTCTCAACAGCAGCTGTGACATAAGAGCAAGTTGGCATTAAAACAAAGTACAGTGCTGGAGTCATTTATAACAATCTATCATCCAGGAATATAAATGGATATTTGTAAGTGAAGTACGTACTCTGGGGAAATGAGGAACTGACAGAACTAGTTGTTGAAGCTTCCCCACACCCATGTTTCTCAATGCTGACCTCTAGTGCCACAGAGCTGGTCCAGCACATATCAGTCCTTACTCATATATGGTGTGAGAAGACCAAAATTCATCTTCATTTGCAACAAAGTGAGAGTTAAATTCAGCCTCCAGAAGGTGCAAACAATACAGTAATTCACTGGGCCAGCTATCCCCTCAAATATTTAAATAAGATTGTTTGGCCACCCCATGTCAGTGGTAGAAAATTATACAGGAAACATGCTAGAAGGCATGCACTTCTAGATGCTGAAAACGATGGTCTTAAAAAAGACGTAAGTATGTCTGCTATTTTTTGTGCTCAGCACACAGACAGAAACACTTCAGACCAACATAGAACAAATATAGGTTGCACCCATCTTGCTAAAATGGAAGGAGGTAATTCGGATCTAAAGAGATTTAGAACTATTTACATTTGCAATAAGTAATGAGAAAGGAAGTCTGGCAACAGGACTCCCCTGCTGCTCTCACAACATGTGATGGAACTCCTTAGATTTCCAGCAATGACCCTCTATAATAGAGAGTACTTTTTAAACACTTGCCAAAGAGCAGTAAACACCTGTTGCAGAGTGACCAGAGCATGCTTAATACTGCAGCCGGTGGCAGAAAGGAGAAGAGTAAATTTTGGGCATGTAGTGAAGAATTTACTTGAGTAAAGGACATGAACTAGTATACTGTGACTCAGATGCTGTAGGAAAATTGATCATGACCAGTCAATGATGCCAGAAGCCCGACCCTCTGGAGCGGGTTCATAGAGCAACAGATGGCTAGCAAATGCTCCCCTTTAGGCAAGACCTCAAGTTCTCAGACCCCCAGAGTACTCCAACTGTAAACCCCTTATGAGAATAGGTAGTCAGGGGCTGATGCTGAGTGCTGTAAAAATGGGAGGGACCCAGAAGGGAAAAAAATGTTGGTAAAGATGGTTAGTAACTTAATTGGAAGTTCGGAATCCTGTGTCTCCTGAAAAAAATGGGATTGATGAGATTGGAAAACTTTTAGGAAATGGCACTTCTAACTGTCCTTGGCATGTGCCACTGAGCAAAATCCATCCCCTCTTGTAAATCTAAAGCAATGGAATTACATCAGGAATTAACACGGCCTTGTTTTTAGTAGTGATGGCTTTTTGCCATCTCTGTCTATCTTCTGGGTGTTTTGTTTTTCCCCTCCGATCCTGAACTCCCATTCCTTTACTACTATCCCACTTAACTCTCCTTTTACACACAGTGTTACCCATCTCTCTCTTCTGGCTGATGATCGTATTTAAAAAAATTCAGCTGTCTGCAGGCTTTGAAAAGGAAATCTAGGAGCTGATTCAACACAGAATAGTGTTTCCCTGCCAAAGCTAACAGGCTGGACTTCAGCATATCAATAAGACAGCAATGTAGGCTTTCAGAATGCAGGCCCTTTACTATTTGGGGTGTTTTCAATCCTTAAATGAAAACAAGTTTAGCAGGAATTCATTAACATTTTGCACTGGAGAACTCCCCTTCCTTCCCCAACTATCACGGGGAGGGAGTTCAGTCCTGCATACACAGCAAGTTAGGTCAAATCTCTGTGTGATGTAAAATTATACAAAGAACTTTATCACCAGAACAAAGATACCATGTATTAAAATACAAACTTCTACCAGGAATAGCCTAACAGAATTTCCCCTGCGGAAATCTGAAACTGCATCCAGAAGAGATATTTACAAATCCATCCATGTTAGCTTATCTGAGACATTACAGAACAACTAACTTGAAAATTAACAAACCCTTTTGTTGGGCTTCCTTGTGTTTCAGACATAAATATGCATTTCCTTTTGGCAGGAGGATCTTCCTCTTCATCAGAAGAGCTTTCTATTGTCAAGTCGATAACATCTACTTTCTTCTTGTTTACCTCATTGGCCACTGTCACAGAACATGGTTTGCTGACAACACTGGAACCTAAAGAAAAAGCATGATTGCTTAAACAATGTTAATATAAGCAGGAAGGAAGCTGAGAGATGGATAATTGGCTAATCATGTAATCGATACAAATTGTAATGACTATACAATTAGTTGATAAGGGAAGGCCCTCAGACCTGGCTAGCACCAAGGTCCAAGAGCTACCCCCAATGCAGCTCTGCAGTTTAAATGTAGTAAGAGCTAGGCACACAGGCAGGCCGGGTCCTACTACATTTAAACTGTAGAGCCGCAGCAGGGGGATATCCTGGACCCAGTGCAAGCCAGAACTGAGCAAGCCCAGCTCGGTCCCAGATCTTACTACATTTAAAATGCAGAGCTACAGTGGAAGTATCTTCCAAACCCAGTGCGAGCCAAGACTGAGCAGGGGAGGCTACTGCGAACCAGCCTCTGCCTGCGGTGGGCCCAGGCCAGGCTGACTGAACAGAGGCTGCTACAGCAGCGGCTCCTATTGGGGGGGGGGGAGAGGGAGAGAAGAAACCAGGACTACCTGCAGACAGGGGCTGTTCTGCAGGAGGCAGAGCAGCCTGGGCTCACCATGAGCTTTGATAGAGGCAGCAGCATGGGGTGTTGGGGGGGGAGGGGGGGGAAGAGAGGTGGAGTGGAAATGTGAGTAGTGGATTATTTGCTTACATCCCTAATAAGCAATTTCCACTTATGGTGCGGATAGCTTCTCCAATTCTAAGCTACTGAATTGAAACATGGCCCTTCTAGTCTCTGTATAGGAAATCAGAACTCAGAAGCAACTTTGGGATTAGTACTTCCTGCACCAAAAGCTGGGAACCACAAAGGCCTTTACTGAACTATCACTTAAAATGATGTAAGTTACATCAGTCGGGGTGCAAAAAAACACCTCAGTGTCTGCACCACACCATTGCCGGGAGAGCAGTCTGTCGACTTATGTCTTCACTGCATCCACTAAACTGATACCACTGAATTGATTGCAGCAACACCAACTCAGATCCAGAGTGAAGACAAGCCCAAAGAGACCTGAATCATCCAATGCATTTATGCGTTAACACAGGGGGACACATTTCCTTTTGGGAGTCTCCCAGGAATAATGAACAATCAATTCCCCAAAAGAATCAAGATGAAAGAGTATTTTTAGAGAGAAAGAGCCATTCATTTAAAATCTAAACAGGTGAAGGGCAAGATACTAAGCTCCCAAACTCACTGCTGATAACTTAAAGCATTATCGTAGTTACATCCAAGAGTCTACAATGTTTGGATATTTTTACCAGTTTGATATTCAGCACTCAAATATACATACTCTCTATTTTGGTACACTGAGGACTGGACACTTTCAGCGCTTCCTTCTTAGGCCTCATAGGACACCAAGAACCATCTTCTTGGAATTTAATCTCATCCACATCTGAACATTCATTAAGGATTTCCATAAAGAGCCTGGAAAATAAAGTTGAGCTGTTTTGGTTTTTGTTTCCAGTCCCAAGCTAAAGCAGAAGTGATGAAGTTAACAGCCAGCTATGATGGAGTGTGAATTGCATCAAGGAAGCTACAGAGAGAAAGTTTCAGCTATCTGGAATATTACATTACTGTACAATCACACCACTGCATTTGTCCTTCTCTTTGGATTTCATATCTTTACAGAATACTACAGCCTACACATGCGCTACCTGGGAAGCATTACTAGTATTTACAGAGTTACAAGGGAGTGAGACAAAATTATATCCTTGGAATAAAAGCCTGACCGTGGCTGAAGCAGTTACAGAACATTTTAGTGTCTCAATTCCATAAAAAGATTTCAGAAGTACAGCCTACCTATGGAAACTCTTAGGCTGTGTCTACACAAGGAAATCTTTTTGAAATTGCTAAATTTGATTTAAGAACTCCCAATTAAATTCCAACTTGCGTGTCCTCACTACGCGGAAGCATTGAAATTAGTCTAAGGCAGGTTCCATTAACGTGGATGCGCTACCTTGAGCTCAGAGCCCCAGGAAGCACTCTGGGGACCTGCAGGAGGCCTCCCAGAAGCCCATTAGTTCGAATTAGCGGCACTGGAGTGTCCACACTAGTGTTATTTCAAACTTACAAGTTCGGAGTTAGTATTATTCCTGATGAAAAACATGAGTTTAGAGTTCAAATTCCACAGCGCATTATTAAGAATGTAAGAACGGCCATACTGGGTCAGACCAAAGGTCCATATAGCCCAGTATCCTGTCTGCCAACAGTGGCCAATACCAGATGCCCCTGAGGGAGGGATCACAACAGGTAATCCTCACGTGATCCCTCTCCGGTCATTCACTTCCAGAGAAACAGAGGCTAGAGACACCATTCCTACCCATCCTGGCTAATAGATTATTGGAGGTTAGGTTCATCAATGGCTATCTAGCTCTCTTCTGAACCCTGTTAAAGTTTTAGGCCTTTACCACATCCTTCAGCAAGGAGTTCCACAGGTTGACTGTGTGCTAAATGAAGAAAAAACTTTTTTTTGTTTGTTTTAAACCTGCTGCCCATTAAATTTAATTTGATGACCCCTAGTTCTTTTATTGTGGGAATAAATAAATAACTTTTCCTTATTCACTTTTTCCACACTAATCATGATTTTATAGACCTCTATCTTCCCGCTCTCCCCCCCACCACCGAGTCTCCTCTTTTCTAAGATGAAAAGTCAAAGTCTTTTTAATCTCTCTTCATATAGGACCTGTTCCAAACCCCTACGCATTTTTGTTGCCCTTTTCTGAACCTTTTCCAATGCCAATATATCTTTCTTGAGATGAGGCGTACACATCTGTACGCCGTATTTAAGATGTGGGTGTACCGTGGTTTTATATAGAGGCAATAAGATATTCTCCGTCTTATTTTCTATCCCTTTTTTAATAACTCCTTAAAAAGCAACAAATAGTATGGTAGCACTTTAACACAAAGCACAGCCCAAAGCTCATAATACCATCTGCATGTTTTGTTAGTCTTTAAAATGCTACCAGATTATTTGTTGTTTCTTAACTTTATCCTGTACAGACTAACTCGGCTATCCCTCTGAAGTTAATGACTCCTAACATTCTATTTGCTTTTTTAACTCTTGCTGCACAGAGTGGATGTTTTCAGAGAAATATCTATCCACAATGACTCCAAGATCTTTCACTTGAATAGTGGTAGCTAAATTAGTTCCCATCATATTGTATATATAATTGGGATTATTTTTTCCAGTGTGCATTACTTTACATTTATCAACATTAAATTTCATTTGCCATTTTGATGCCCAATCACAGAGTTTGATGAGATCTTTTTGAAGCTCTTCACACTCTGCTTTGGTCTTAACTACTTTGAGCAGTTTGGTATCATCTGCAAATGTTACCACCTCACTATTTACCCCTTCCTCTAGATCAGCATTTCCCAAACTATGGGCCGTGGCTTGGTACCAGACCGCGGGAAAAAAATACCGGGCCTCAGTGTGGCTGGCTGGAGGGGGGCGGGGCGGGCTGGGAGGAGGTGTGTGTGTGGAGGAAACGGGCCCATGGAAGCAGGGTTGGGGACAGCCAGGCTATCCGGGAGAGATCAGGGCAGGTGGGTGGTGGAAGCAGGACTGGCTGGGGGGGAACGGGAGCTGGCTGGGGGAGATCGGGAGGAGGAGGACGGGAGAACCAGCTGCCAGAAGCAGGGCTGGCCAGGGGAGATCGGGAGGAGAAGTGGGGGGGTAGAGCGAATCGGCCGGTGGGAAACACATTCAGACTGGGCACATGCAGACCCGGGCACACGAGTGAGTCCGGCTCTGGGGATTCCATTTTGCCCCCCCCCATATCCTCCCTCGAGTAATTGCACACTGCCTGGCTAGTAGACACACTCACGCAGTGTGAGCACTTCTACCAGCCAGGCAGTTCGCAGCTATGGGTCCGGCCCTGGGGATTCCATTTTGCCCCCATGCGCCCCGCCCAATACCCTCCCTCGAGTAGTTGTGAACTGCCTGGCTGGCAGACACACTCATGCAGCATGAGCACATCTACCAGCCAGGCAGTTCGCAGCTATGGGCTGATACACCTAATAATAATAAAAATAAAACTTGCCTAATTAGAAAATACCGGACATTTTATATGTCCGGTATTTTCTCAATGTGTTTCCCGGACAGAACCCTCAAATACCTGACTGTCCGGCACAAAACTGGACACCTGGCAACCCTACCCCTCCTTGCACCTTCCCTCCTAGCCAGATACCCTCCCCCCAATCTGCTCCTGCTCCCGCCTCCTGGAGTGTCCATGTGGCACCAGATCCCTTAAGCCCTGGCCCAGGCTGGGCGGAGGATGCAGCCAGATGAAACACTGAAAATTTATTCATTTTTAATTCTTTTTTTTAATATGCATTTGTACTTTTGGGCTGCAAAAAACAGTACTGGAAAAAAAACCGGTTTCCAACTAAAGTAAAACGTTTGGGAAACCCTGGTCTATCCATCTTACAGTCCATTTATCCAATTCATATTCCCTTAACTGGCTGGTAAGAATATTGTGGGTGACCATATCAAAAGCTTTGCTAAAGCTGGCACTGGGGGCTTTGGGAGGACCAGAAACAATTTATTTGAATATTCATCATTTGCTTAATGAATATGCAAATATGCAAACGAATGTTACCAGTCCTCCAAAAGCTCATGAATGGATTTACTGGTCCCCGTGCCAAAAGGTTTGGGAACCCCTGCTCTAGATCATGTATAAATAATTCAATGGGATGGGTCCCAGAACAGACCCTTGGGGGACCTCACTAGTTACCTCTCTCCACTCAGAAAACTTACCATTTATTCCTACCCTTTGTTTCTTGTCTTTTAACCAGTTCTCAATCCATGAAAGGACCTTCCCTCTTATCCCATGACAACTTACTTTACTTAGCCTTTGACAAGTCCCTCACCAAAGGCTCTTTTCTGGAAATGTAAGTATATTATATTCCTGCTTCTGATGTACTTAAATATCTTACTATTATTTTTTGAGGTTTTGGCTAGCTACTCTTCAAACTCCTTTTTGGCCCTTTTTATTATATTTTTTTAAACTTAATTTGACAAAGTTTATGGCCCTTTATTTTCCTCACTAGGATCTCACTTCCGCTTTTTTAAAAATCTCTTTATCTGTCACTGCTTCTTTTACCTGGTTGTTACGCCAGGGTGGCACTTTTTTGGTTCTCCTACTGTCATTTTAACTTGGGGTATACATTTCAGTTGGGCCTTTATTATTGTGTCTTTGAAAAGTTTCCATGCTGCTTGCAGAGATTTTACTTTTGACACTGTACCTTTTAATTTGTTTAATTTCCTAATTTTTGTGTAGTTCCCCCTTTCTGAAATTAAATGCCACAGTGTTGGTCTGCTGAGGTGTTTTTCCCACCACAGGGATGTTAAATTTTATTATATTATGGTCACTATTTCCAAGCGGTCCAGTTATATTTACCTCTTGAACCAGATCCTGCAATCCACTGAGGACTAAATCAAGAATAGCCTCTTCCCTTGTGGGTTCCAGAACCAGCTACTCCAAGAAGCAGTCATTTAAGGTATTGAGAAATATTATCTCTGTATATTTTGAAATAATGGGCATGATAGCGTGGACTAGGGATATCAACGTGTAGTAGACTATAAAATTAACCGATAAGCCTGTGCTTATCAGTTCATCTTCTTGACTACACACATTTTCCCCCACACCCACCTTTGCTGCCTCTGTATCAGAGGCAGCAGTGCAGGGCAGCAGGCAGCTGGTCTGCACGAGGTGCTGGTTTTTAAACTGGCTCCCCCTCCCAGATACAGACATAGCAGTGTGGGATGGCAGCACGCTGGCTGCCGTCCCCATTCTTGGTGACTATCAAATAGTCGAGTAACCACCAAGATTTCATGCGGTTACATGAGTATTCAATTACCTGATATCTAACATCCCTAGTGTGGGTACAGAACTTATCAATTCAAACTTGGGGGTGTTATTTTGCACAAAGATCCTACTGTAGATCAGGGCACAACGACAAGGTGAATTCTGAAATCTAAATCAAGACTGGATGTCTTAAGAGGTATTTTATAGTTCAAACCAGAAGTGATAGGGTTGATGCAGGAATTACTAGAGAAGGTTCTTTGGTCTGATGTTATGTAGGTCATTTTATATTATCATAAATGGTCCCTTCTGGCCCTGACATCTCTGAATATTCAAACTAATAAAATACAATTGAAATAAAAATAGCCAGAAGCTGTAGATCTCAATGTTGAAGCCATAGGATAGATTTGTACTTAACTGTATTTATATTCCAAGAAACAGAACTACTGTAAAAAAGGTAAATTGACAGGCTCAACCTCTTACCCATCTAATATTAGACTTTCATAAGCTGCCTTTTTGTCACAGACAGGACAAATCCAGGTGGGTTTCTTTTCATTCATTTGTAGATAAAGAGCAGCATCAAAACATTGCAGATGTGTACAAGTAACAGCACGACATGGAATTGTTAGTCTCATTTTTCCCAGCTGCAGGAGATGCAATAGAAACAAGTATCAGCATGACAGACAAGAGGAACTGGTATACATTTTCAGAGGTAACAATGAAAAAAGACTCGGAATTAGAATGGTTCTCTGTTGGTAAATAAAAGCCCAGTCCAACATTCTGTCATACCCATAAATCCTATCAGTATCAAAAGGAGTTGCATGTGCAGAAAGTATTGTGTTATTCACACAGAGGCAAAAACCAATGTCTCTAAATGCGGCTATGTCTACACTACAACTTTTTTTCAGAAAAACGTACAGAAAATGTGCTCCATAATCTGCGTACCTTTTTCTGTGCCACCCCCCAGAAAAGGCTTTTCCAAAACTTGGCCTGTCTACACTGGGCCAAATTTTGGAAAAAATCCCACTTTCAGAAGAGCCCCTTCCCTTTTTTTTTTTTTTTTTTTTTTTTTTTTGAGGAAGAGCAGATGTGTTCCCTGGACGCAGCGGAGTTACCTCCAGTATCCTGAAAAAGCCCTGCAGTCTAGACATACCCTGTCAAGGCCCAGTACAGACTTTTATAGCAGATTGTGCTGGTCCTAGGTCAGTGTTCTATTGCTGTGATTTTGTTATAGTAAAATGTTTGAAGCATCCATTATATTTCATACAATTTATCCCAGGATCTGAAAGCACTTTATAAACATTAAATGGTTCAGTCTGAATTATAAAGTTGGTTTAATATAAATTCAAAAGGGTGAACTGAATAATAAAGTCTATAACATAGCTTGGCAGTCACACAAAACCGTGACTGAGCTGGGAATGAAACCGAAGAGTTTCGGCTCCCAGGCAGCTTGCTTGCGTTAAAAGATTACACTACTACAGACCTGAGGCATTATTTCCAGAAGGAAATCAATCTAAATATGCTCAAAGAGAATCCCAAAATTATTTGTACATCTTACGATTGGTAGCATTCAGGCTAGGTCTACACTACCATTTGCTGACGGGGGTGATGTCAACTTTCAATGCCTCAGTTTCACTCTTTAAAAAAAGGGGGTGAGGAATAACAATGCTTCCTCTCCTGTTTAAAAGTCTTGAAAGATACACATGATCAGGTATGTTGAACTGGATGATCTCACAATATTTTTATTCTGTAACTTGTTGACTACTGTTTGTATTTAAAAAAAAAAAACACCCCTTATTATAGAAATTCCACCAAGAATAAAAGCTATTTACAGAGTTCTGAGTTGTGGGCCTTTTTACAGGAAACCTAAGTTTGAATTTAAAATGAATAAAAATGAAGAATGATCTCCCCTCCCACCTCACCCAAAAAATTAATTGCATATTATACTTCCCAAGTCTACTTACAGGACACATCAAAGATACCCGCAAACTGGTTGTGGCAATTTCACTATCAGGATCAGCAGTCAGTTTTTCTTTAACTATTAAAATGAAAAAAGCAGTTTAATTTCATAACCATTGTTAAAAATGTCTTTCTTGCCACTCAGTATATTAATGAGTATCTATTCAAACATCTATTTAATTTTCATGTAAAGTCATCTAAATTAAGAAACCGAGAAAGCTGCTTGCAGCAAGTATCAAATTGGCATTGATTTCCTGTCTTAAGGACCAATCCTGCAAACACTGGCAGGCAGAGTACCTACTGCCATCAAGAGTAATCCCACTGATGATCTAGTTAGCACTAAGCACAGTGGTGTTTGCATGAGCAGACGCTAATCTATATACATATTGAATCAAATAGAACCTTTGAAGGGGATCTACCAGAAAGTCTTTAAACTTCACAGGAAGGTGAATGACACCTCATACCTGTGGAGAGAGAAATAGATATTGATGTCAACACAAATGCTGCATCTTGCACTCCACCACTAGAGATACTTTCAGCAATATTAAGAGACTATTCAGACGTGGAGTAGGTGCTCTCTCATGGTCTAGAATAAGCAAAAGCAATGCAAGCTCTTTCTCTGTACTGGGGATAGAAGACTTTGGTATAGGCGCAGTGCTGTAAATCTGGTATCTTTAACCAATTCTAGATTGCTTCAAAACAAATTGGGAAAAATTAAACCAACTTACTCAGTGCTCTCGAATGGTCTGGATTTCGGATACCTTTCATTTTTAACCTCTGTAAAAGCATGGCTGAAGTGAGTTGCCGAACGAGATATACAGACATGGAGTAATTCTACAAAGGAAGAAAAATGACTAAGGACTGAAAAGTTTTCCTACCTTTCATTTGAAAAAAAAAAAATCAGTTTTATTTCATGCAATAAACAAACACTTCACTACACAGAAAGATTATTTAAATACTAGCCAAGTAGCCCATCATCAGACGGGATTTTCAGGTCTCTCCTCCATGTCGGTCTTCTCTCCTGAGCCTCCGGTGTCTCGCTCCATCTCTCCCCCCTCCTCCTCTAGTCTCCCCCGCTCTCTCACTCTCTCTCCTCCTCCCCCTCCTGCCTCTCACTCAGGGCGCCGCAGAGCCCAAATGGCCGTTTGGGCTCTGCACTCCCGTTCTGCATGGGGGGGTGTGGAGCCCCAACAGTCGCTTGTGTCACTTGCTCCCCTGCAGTGGCCTGGCTGAGCGGCACAGAAGTCAGCCGAGCACCACGGCGGGAGGCGAAGGGAGGGCGGGGCGGTGACGTTCACGGTCAGGGGGCAGGGCCTAGAGCCGCTGTCACACCGCATGTCACCGTCCCGTCCCCCTTCACCTCCCGCCGTGGTGCTCGGCTCACTTCTGCACCACTCAGCTGAGCCACCGCAGGGGAGCAAGCAGTGCAAGCGGCCATTTGGGCTCTGCATTCCCCATGCAGCACGGGCCGCCCAGAGGGAATAGCCAGCATTTCAGCAACAGCGCCTCCCAGAGGGAACAACCAGCATTTCAGCGTTACAGACTCTCAGACACTGGGCTACTATCTATCTATCTATATACACACACACACACACACACACGATATACTAGTAGAATAAAACAGACTGATTCAATGAAACAAATGGCCGCACTTTTTAAAATATTACTATAGGTTAATGAAGGGATGTGAACAGTTGACCAGTAAGCATCTCCACTCTAGCACAGCTGCCCCTGTTTAAGCATTTAACTGGTTAACTGATTAAACAGGATTTTATACCCCAAGATTAACATAGGTGCAGCAATGGAATTTATTCCCAAATAGAGCCATGTATTAGTTTGCTGACCGAAGTACGAATCTATTGCTATCAGTGGGATAAATTCACAGCTGGTTTAAGACAGAGCACCTCTTCATAAAGTTTCACCCTCTTACACCAATAGAGAAATAGGCCAGATGACAAGTCATGCAATTGACAGTTTTATGAGAGGCATCTCTTACGGTGATTCAAAAGAGAATATAAAAAAAAAAAAAAAAAAAAAAGACATATGCCCATATAATTCCTGGTGGACATTTCAGACTATTATTTTCCCCCGCTTCTTTTCTTTAACAGCCACCAAGTGAACAGAAGGAGAGTAATCTTATGTCTATACATCTCCAATATCTGTAATACAGTGGATCACAGATGAAGATGGAAGTTTGCATCTGAGAAATAGTAATAATATGAAGATAGAAGACTATGCAATTTCTTCTATGCTCCTCTAATGTTCGATAGTTCTTTGAGATACAGACATTAATATCCTGCAGTTTAAACTGGATTACAAGAACTAGGCTCCAATATTTCACCTGAAAGACTATTCCTCAGCACTGCAAATCTCACCATCAGAAATTTGTCCTGATTGATCATAAAGGGTTGTGGTTAAGAAGGGGAAAACTTATGTCAAAAGACATCCCTTTTTTCTTGTTATTTACACCCGGGCAACGTCAAAAGTCATGTCCCCACATAAATATTATTTTATTTAAGTGAAAGTTAAGTCACCCTTTCTGCAAATTAAGCACTCTTGGCCTCAAATAACTTTTGATGCTCTCTTCTGAACACCCTCCAATTTGTCACCATCTTTTTGGTCAAACCAGAAGAGAGCAACCATTTCATTACTAATGTATCAGATAGCAAACTCAAGAGTATCCTGGACTAGATTCATACCATTTAAGGATGTTAAATTTAGATTAATCAGCTAATCGAATGGTTGATGCAAATTGCATCAACCATTCAATTAGTCGATAAGGGCACCTCCGCCTTTGAAATGTAGCAAGAGCCTTGACGGCTTTTGCTACATTTCAAAAGCTAAAGTGCCAAAGGGAGCATGGAGCCAGTGGGGGGACTCAAGCAGTCCCCCACTGACCCTGTGCTCCTGCTGTGCTTCTGCCTTACTCTTGCTACATTTCAAAGGCAGAATCGCTGCCAGTTCCCCGTTGTACCCCAGCCTCCCCATGTGGAGATGGTGCTGAGGGGAACCGGCTTTTAAGCTGGCTCCCCGCAGCACTGGCTCTTGCTCCCTCCCCTTGCTGCCTCTCTCTGATAGAGACAGCAAGGCGAGGGGGAGCGACTAATCAACTGATAGTCAACTAGTCACTTACATCCCTAATACCATTACTACTTTTGATGTTTGTTCCCTACTTTTTCTTGGTAATATTGGTTTGAACTTTCTAAATCAGAGAAGCCAGCAGAAAATTGCAAACTGAGATCTAACTCACTTATCACTTCTTCTAGATCACAGATGAAGATTATGACACTACAGTATCCCCCCTAGACACCTCCCTTCCAACATAATTTGCTGCATATAACCCTTTGGCTTACAATTCTTCAGCCAGGTTTCTTTCATTCTAGCTATTGTCTTATGGCGTCCGTCATTGTAGAATCAGAGCGTCTCCTACTTAAACACTCCTCTGCATTTAAAAATTAAACAAAGGCATTTCTTCCTTTGAAGTTCATCGGAATAGACAAAAAAGTTGTCTCCATGCATGTGAGGAAACTGGGGGAAGCCAAGTAGGAGACAAAAAAAGATTTGAGTTCTGAAGGAGTAAGCTCTGATCATGCATCTCTGCAGGAACACGTTCAATAGTCTAGATCCAACTCCTTTGAAAGTTATGCATTCATGAGGCTTTCACTACCTAGTAACCGATTTATCACTAATAAATGTAGCTATTATGGCAGTTTATGATCACTGAGTGAGAGAGGATTTCTTAGAAGCTGGGACCAATACCAAGGAAGGTTTCCAATTTGATGACAGACCTTGAACTTGACTACTGAATTCAGGGCTCAATCCTGCAAGATGCTGACTTGTAATCTAAGCACATTGTGAAGTGCTTTGCTCCATCCATCTTATAAGTAGTCCCACAAGCGCTTCAGTGTCAGTACTTCACACCTTGCACAAAATAGCTTTGAGAACCAATGTAGACAGAATACTGCATTGATGTAGCTGCAGTAATCCATGTTGCTATGCGGATGGCCTGATGTGTTTAACATTAGTTATACTACAACTGATGCCAAGTTTGTTTGAAATGAGAGCGGTCTAGTGACATGACAGACCATGTCGTCTCACTAGTTTTCCCACTGGCTTCACACAGAGCCTGAATAATGTAGGGGAACCATTATGGGCTTGCTTGTCTACATCTCATTGATTTCCTCTAATATTTATTTTATAGAATGTTGCTGTTGGGATCAATCCCCATTCCTTTTTTTGAGTAAGGATACAAATTTTTCTGGCATCTCACCAGTTCTCCATCTCACCAGTTCTCCCAACTTGAATACTAAAATGTCAGTCACAGCAAATTCCTTGATTGCATAGGCAATGTCTACACTGGAAAAATTTGGCAACAAAAATGCTGTCACCAACAGTGAAAACCGATAAAACTGGTTTTTCTGCCTCACTGTCCACATTTTATGGCCACATTGCTTTGCTCTCTGTGTTGACAGGATACTAGCAATGTTGATAAGCATTCCAAAGTGAGTTGCAGCGGGAAGACAGAGTTGATCCCTGCACTTCTTGGAATTCCCCCATAGCTCCGTGAGTTCTTTGTGCTGAGGAATGTCAAAGCAGGGCAGCAGTCTCTCCAGCCCTCCCCCTGCAGCAGCCATCTGCCCGCAGTGTTTTTGGCACGGCAAAACAGGAGAATTCCAAAGATTTATTGTTTGTTCCCCAAATGGAGTAACTCACTGAGCTGTCAAACTTCCCAGGAGCTTTGAAAGGTAAGGAATGCACTGCCTGCAGGTCAGCAGAGATCAAAACACTGAGCACAGTCATCCGGGCAGGCATTATGGGATATTGACAGAAGCCAGTTCTCTCAACAAAACAGCAGAGTCCACATTGGCTATGATGACAATAAAGGGAGGGGGAAGAAAAAAACGTCTCTCGGGGTGGAAGTTTGTCACCAAAACTGGCTGTTTTTCCCAAACAGTCACGTTGTAGTGTAAATGCTCTCACTGTTTAGTTGCCAAAGTGCGCCCGTGTAGACAAAGCGTTTATATCATAGGTAATTATCTTCCAAACTAACTAAATTATAGGTATTGAATTTTTTTTCAAGTATCCCTTACCTGCTCTTTAGCAATAGCCATTTTAATATGATCTTCCTCACCTTCTATATGTCCAGACTGCTTTCCTTTAGCTTTCTTGTCAAAGACATTTAAAAAAAATAAATTCAGTATCAACCTTTTACAGCCATCGATTTCCTTCCTTTATTAAAATCCACTTCCTTCTGATACTCATTTTACCTCTAATATATTTATTTCTAAGATCTTTACTCCCTTTAACCTCTGAAAGTGTGTTTACACTACAAATAAAAAGTACTACTTCAGATAAAAATAGCAGTGAAGACACGGCACCTCTGCTTTTATTCAGGTTAGCAATTTAAGCTAAAGCCCTTAAGGGACCCTGGAGCTCAACTTGAACTACTAACCCAAACTCAAGGCAGAGTTGTCATGTCTTCATGCTACTTTATCCCACGTTGGCTAATGAAAGTTATTATCCCATGAGGAAGAACACCTTTTTGTTGCAGTGTAGCCCAAACTCATTCTGCTCTTTTTGTTGTCTTCTCCATGAAAACTGTACATGAGCCTATATACTTTGTATGGCTGACTCCCTCTTTTCCCAGTTGTAGTGTTTTCTTTTTTGTAATTAATCAGCCTCATCTTTTAGCAGTTGCTAGTCTCATTTTACACAATTTATGTCACTAACTTATTGCATTCCTCTCTCAGCACGGGTAGTGAAGATAGACTAATGAGTTTCTCTCTCATTTTCATGCCTCGGTAGAATGCTATAATATTTGAAGTGCAGACACTGAAGATAAGAGTTTAAATTCTAATTAGGGATGTAAAATCCCATTTAATCAGTTAATTGCTTAAATGGGCTACTGTTGTCAGTAGCCTTGCTGGGCTGGCGCACTCTTAACCAGCAAGCATCACCCCATAAGGTTAACCAGATAACCGCAGACATCCCTAATTCTAACAGTTTTCACTTGAAGTTTTAAACAGGATTATGAAAAAATTCTATTAATATATACACAACTTTGCTGAAAAAACTCTCAAAGCCTAAATTTTGGGATTAAAAACTACTTGACAGTGGCCTTTGTATTTTCAAAAGAACACAAGTTTCATCTAGAATTGCCACAGGGCTTCAGGTCTCAATACATGTACTTCAACCTCCTTGATGCTTGGCAGTTCAAAATACGTTTTTCTGCTAAAAACAATTAAGGTTTTATATAAAATTGAAAGGGATAATACAGCTCCCTTAGAAAAATGGAGACTAGGAAATGAGAGAAACTTTCTATGCACCTTTACTTCATGTCTCTTTCTCTTCACCTACCCTGAATTCACTCAGCCCCTTGAGGGAAGAGGCTCCATTTGCAATAGAGGATATACATCTCATTGTAACCCCAGATAATTATGTACTTGCCCTGTTTCAGTAATGAGAACTGCAATTGAACTTTGTAAGAGAATAACTGGAGACTTAACAGCTATTGTCAAGTAAATTTCTGTAGTTTATTAAATAAAAGTTGATTTCATTGAAACATTACTTAAAAATGAACAGCATTTGGACAGAAAATAGGAAACTCAAATGCATGTCTGCATGAGGGTGGCTGGAGACAAGGCATTTTCAAAACGTCTGCTCCTGCATTCTCTAATGTCTCTTAGGGCATGCGTAAGCTACATTTCTCTTCTTAAAGAAGAATGTAAATGAGCCCGATCGAAAATGCCAAAGACGCACGGATTTATAAATCTCGCACTTCATTTGCAGAAAGGCGTGAGTGCTTTTTTGAAAAGAAAAAAAAAAACCACACTGCTGTCTAGACGGGGTTCTTTTGGAGAGAAAAAAACAAAAAATAACCTTTTTCGAAAGAACCCATACATCTCGGGTTCTTTCGAAAAAAGTCTCCCCCCCCAAAGAACCCCGTCTAGACAGCAGTTTCTTTTTCAAAAAACCCTTTTTTTGAAAAAGCGCTCACACGATTCTGCAAATGAAGCATAAGATTTGTAAATCCGCGCTTCATTTGCATTTTCAATTGGGCTCATTTACATTCCTCTTTCGGAAAAGGAATGTAGTTTAGACATAGCCTTACTGGTCTTAATGGCCAATTGTCTATAGAAGGCTCATGCTAGAGAGCATTTTCTTTGTCTCAACCTAGGAAATGGCAAGTTTCTCTCATTACGAGTCATTTTATTAATCTTCATCTCACTACAAACAGTTAAGGATAAAAAAATTCTCTGAAGCAATTCTAAATTTTTACCATTTTGGTTTTACTTTAAAAGTTTCACGTAAAATGCTGGCACCGCTGAACTCTTTGAAGTTTGCCATGAACTTCAGTGGGATCAGAATGTCTTTTATAGCCATTAATCGCAGAATCATACAATACTAGAAATGGAAGGGACCTCAAAAAGTCATCAGGTCCAGTCCCCTGCCCTCACAGCAGGACCAAGCACCATCTGGATCATCACTGATAGATGTCTATCCAACCTTCGCTTAAAGCTCTCCAGTGATGGACATTCCACAACCTCCCCAGGCAGTTTATTCCAGTGTTTAATGACCCAGACAGTTAGGAAGTTTTTCCTAATGTCCAACCTAAACTTCTCGCTGCAATTTAAGCCCATTGCTTCTTGTCCTATCATCAGAAGTCAAAGAGAACAATATTTTTCCCTCCTCCTTGTAACTCCCTTTTAGATACTTGAAAACTGCTATCATATCCCCTCTCAGTCTTCTCTTTTCCAAATTAAGCAAGCCCAATTCTTTCAGTCTATCCTCATAGCTCATGTTTTCGAGACCTTTAATCATTTTTGTTTCTCTTCTCTGGATCTTCTCCAATTTCTCCACTTCTTTCTTTAAATGTGTCCAGAACTGGACACAATACTCCAAATGAGGACTAATCAGTGCAGAGTAGAGCAAAAGAATGACTTCTCATGTCTTGTTCACAACACTCCTGTTAGAAACATGATTCTGGGATGCATTTTTTTTGCAACAGTGTCACACACAACTCATATTTGGCTTGTGGTCCACTATGACCCCTAAATCCTTTTCAGCAGTATGCTTTCCTAGACAGACACTTCCCATTCTGTATGCATAAAACTGATTGTTCCTTCCTAGAGTGGAGAACTTAGCATCTGTCCTTTTAACTTCATCCTATTTACCTCAGACCGTTTCTCTAGTTTGTCCACGTCATTTTGAATTTTACCCTATCCTCCAAAGCACTTGCAACCCCTCCCAGCTTGGTATCATCTGCAAACTTAATAATCGTACTCTGTATGCCATCATCTATCGTTGATGAAGATACTGAACAGAACTGGCCCCAAATGGACCGCTGTGAAACTCCCCTTGTTATGCCCTTCCAGCATGACAATCATTAATAACTACTCTCGGAGAACAGTAATCCAGCCACTTATGCACCCACCTTATAGTAGCCCCATCTAGGTTGTATTTTCCTAATTCCACGTTTCTCAAACTGTGGGTCCTGACCCCCTGGGGGGGGGGGGAGATCGCAAGCAAATTAGAGGGGGGTTGTGGTATCACAAAGTTTGAGAACCCCTGCCCTACTTTATTTATAAGGGCATGTAAGACCGTGTCAAATGCCTTACTAAAGTCTAGGTATACCACATCCACAGCTTCTCCATTGTCCACAAGGCTTGATGTCCTATCAAAGAAAGCTATCAGATTGGTTTGACATTTGTTCTTCACAAATCCATGCTGGCTGTTTCCTATCACCTTATCTTCCAGATACTTGCTCCATTATCTTCCTTGGCGCAGACTGGTCTGTATTTTCCTGAGTTATTCTTACTTCCCTTTTTATAGATGGGCACTATATTTTCCCTTTTCCAGTCTTCTGGAATCTCTCCCAACTTCAATGATTTTTCAAAGATGATAGAGCAGATATCTGAGTCTTAAGCTATCCCCTACTTGAGTATTCCAGGATGCATTTCATCAGGCCTTGGTGACTTGAAGACATCTAACTTTTCTAAGTAATTTTAACTTCTAAACCTACCCCATTTCCACTAGCATTCATTCTTTTAGGCATCCCGTCACCATCAAACTTCTTAGTGAAAACCGAAACAGAGAAGTCATTAAGTACCTCTGCCATTTCCAATTGTTATGGTTTCTCCCTCTTCATTGAGCAATGGGCCTATGCTGTCCTTGGTCTTCTTGCTTCTATTTGTAGAACGTCTTCTTTATTACCCTTTCTGTCTCCACCTAGATTTAGCTCATTTTGTGGCTTTGCCTTTCTAATCTTGCCCCTGCATTCCTGTGTTGTTTGCTTATATTCATCCTTTGTAATTTGACCTAGTTTCCACTTTTTATATGACTCCTTTTTGATTTTTAGATCATATAAGAGCTCCCGGTTGATCCAAGGTAATCTCCTGCCATACTTACTATCTTTCCTATGCTGTGGAAGAGTGTGCTTTTGGGCCCTAAATAACGTCCCTTTAATCACGTGCAAGCTCTATGGAACTTTTTTGAAAGCCATACATTCTTGTAAACTAACTTTTTATTAAAGTTTTTAAAATAAATGTTTTCTTCCTAGCAAGCTACTGGATGGAAAGAGTTGAAATCTTTACAATGAAGGAATACAGGCAACATAAATGTTAGCACCTCTCTTGCCAGCAACAATCAAATGGGAAAAGGAGTAATACTGAGTAAGGTTATTCTCATAGTACAAAGACCAGTTTACCTTTCCAATTTCAGATGCCCAAGAAATGGAGATCTGGTTTGGCACTGCTGATGATAATCTAACAAGAGATGTAATATTCAGAGGGCGGCCTGGGCGCTTCTGCTCAATCCCATTTTTTGGTGGTGGAGCATATCCCTGAAATAAGGAAAAGAAACCTCTCTCTAATTTTTTAGAAATTCTGACTGTACCCTGAAATCTACCAAAGACACCATTACAAAGTTTTTGGATAGCAGAAGTTTTTATACAAAGTTAAAAATATTGTTTTCTGGCATTTATTTTTGGCACGCCTTTTAGATTTTGCCATCACAAATCATGTACTTATCCTTCTCTCTCTCAACTCAATAAGCCTCACCTCTCTCAACTCAATAAGCCTCACTTCCCTTTTAGGACTATACTGTGTTACCAATATAGAAAAATTTTGTACAGCTTTACAGAGCTGTAGAAAGATTATCTTTAATTGGATAAATTTCTCCTCCCTTTTCATCTACCCTCAAGTTTCAGAGTTATAGTTCATATGAGTCATCACAATACCGCTCAAATGTTAACAGATAAGAAAACACCTGCTTGTAGAAATGAATCTCACATCAGCCATTTCTGTGATAGGAAACTTTTTCCCCCCAAAAAATCCCTACAACTGCTAGGCTCCACCACTATTGACATGTTTGGAGCCCTATTATTTATCCTTCATCCTCACCAGGAAAATTGCTATTTCCTCACATCTTTAAAAGATTCAAGTTATGGAATGAGATCTTCCAAGAACGAATAGCAAAAGACAGCCCAAATTAAAAGCAGGTTATGTACAGCCAAAGCTGATATCTAAGATTTTACAGATGCTATCTAGAGAGGTTTCCCATACAACCAGAATTAGAATTTTTGGAAGAATTGTCATGCTGCAATTTAGCTGTGTCTTGGATGACCCAAACGTAGAAAAAAAGACCCTCCATGTGTAAAATGCTAAACATTAGTATTGGTGTCTTAGTGACTGTCAGTGCCTAATGCACACACAATAACTGCACAGGCTATTAGACATAAAGTTGTGAGCATATTTCTGAAAAAAGAGTCAGGTCCTTTTTCACACCCATTTTAGACATTAAGCAAGCTAATGAGAAAAAGCTACATGGTGGAATAGAATTTTAATAACTTACCGGCAATGGAAATAATTTCCCATTTACTTTAATGCATAAACTATTGGGATAGTTATCTTCCTGAGGACAACTAGTCTCTGCAAGGCATAACCTATTTCAAAAAGAAATTTGATTTTTAACTGACGTTACACTCAGATAACTATTTACACATTAAAATATACTTAGATTAAAATAGCCAAGTACAAACAATGTAAGAAAAATGCTAAATCACCTTAGCTGAACTTGTACTGTGTAATCCCTCCTGCCTCCTGGCAAGAAATCCCTGTTTGGGGGGGGAAAAAAGGGAAAAAAAGACAGTTCACTGTTCCGCTCTTTTTAACTGACGTTACACTCAGATAACTATTTACACATTAAAATATACTTAGATTAAAATAGCCAAGTACAAACAATGTAAGAAAAATGCTAAATCACCTTAGCTGAACTTGTACTGTGTAATCCCTCCTGCCTCCTGGCAAGAAATCCCTGTTTGGGGGGGGAAAAAAGGGAAAAAAAGACAGTTCACTGTTCCGCTCTTACCCCC